AGCTGATATCCATGTGGCTTATGGATTGTGCATCCCTCCCCTAAGCAACCAAGTTAGCACCCTGCCCTTCCATCACGTGCCATTTCTCTGTTAATTTTCCTACGAATGATGTGAAATTACAGCATCCTTCTACCCAACCACTGAAACAGTTTTTCCTCCATGTTATTTACAAACTGCAAGACTATACTCCTGTAATTTTTACATCTCAGCTCTTGTTTGCTTTGGTTGTATTTTGAATAAAAATAATCCTTAAAAAGCAAAAATAATTGGTTTTTTTTAAAAAAAAATATACACCTAGTATACTTTATAAATAGACTGTTCAAACTTAACTCTAGTTTAATTTCTCGTACTCCATGGATTATTTCTGCTTCTTACTTTCAACAGAGATACATACCACGTAGCTCAAAGCATCACTAGCAGTAAATTTAAAGTCACTCGAATTGCCTTCGTAAAACTTTAAGCTTATCATGTAAATGAATTGCACTTTTTATGACAGCAACACTTTGACCAATACATCCATCTTTTTGCTCAGCCTTACCTTCCTCTTTACATTTCTCTCTCCAGAGAAGATTATCTTCAGCCAGAATTCTCCAGTAACGGCATGTCTGGGCTGCCTGCAGAAGGTCCCTGGGTTCCAGGAATGACAGCACATACAGTGCCAGCTGTAAAAAAGAAAAAGAAAGTGAATTCTCTCCAGTGCTTTTGAAAGGAAAAGTGAAGTAACTTGAACTATTATCACACATCAGGGGCTGAAATACAGAAAATTCAAACAATAAATTATTAAACAGTATCAGAAACTTAACAGAGCTATTCTGGTTTATTCCAGCAGGCAAATGAAAGTACAACAATCATCTTAAGTAACTAAATTCATACACATCACACCAGAAAGGATTCTTGTCTTTGGAAGACAGTAGAGGTCAGCTGAAAGCACTATTATCTTTTTTTTTGTTTTTTTACAATGTAATCCACATTACTTTGAACCATTAACAGAATTGTTACTAAAACAATTACGTCTATGTTATTTTAGCTAACAAGTATACCAAAAGTTATTCTGAGAGTTTAACTAGAAAGTACAACACTCACCATGTGAGCAAGTGGGAAAGTATGTTGTGATGAGTAACATCACTCAGTGAGCCTGCACCCAGAAAAAGTAAACGCTACGTGCACTTGAGTTGAACAGCACCCTGCAGCGGCGGGGAAAGCAGCACACCCACCTACTGCTCCTTTTCCCACGGGAATGCAAACCCACTCCCCAGCGGTGCTACAGGGAGTTTTACAGACTGGGATGCAGAAGGACTGAAACATGTAACTTTGATCCTGTACACAGTATGTTACCAAAAACATATGGGACATCCCAGTGAGCACCAGAAGATGAACTTTTCCATGTGACAAAATTAAAGGTTATTGAGAGGATTCAGACCTCAGCTGACTGAGCTAGGCCATACAATGACCATGATAAAACCCCCAGAATCTCCACAAACATCTTCAGATGTATTGAAGTCGTAAGCAGGGACAGCGGCATCTAAAGCACAATCTAAAATACAGGGACGGCTATCCTTAAGGGTATGATGATGACCAAGTACAACTTCTCTACTTGACAGCAACAATGCATCTCCCCTGTCACAGAAAACAGAAGTATAAGAGGCAGAAAAGCTCCTTCCACAGCTAAAAACTCTGCAGAAGGAAAAAATATCGATAAAAAGTGATGCAGAAAACTACTTACATGCTGAAACAGTGAGGTCTTTGTCAGTAACTAATAGGATGCCAAAGTTGTCAGGGAAATCAGATCAGCCACTTTTACTTCTGCTGGATGTATCTCTGTGTGTTTAGGATTTTTTAATTTAATTTTTAGCTGGAGTTATGATGTATATAAATAGAATCTGCCCTTCAAAGCAGCACAGACTGGAATTCGGTCAGGAAGCTGTAGCCTGTTGACCTCAGCAGATTTTTTTTTTTACCACATTATGTGAGAAACGTTTACTTTCAGTAATCTAGACCAGCCAGTGACTAAGCAGCAAATAATTCAATACGCCAGAACTGTTTGCATTTTGACTGCACACACACCTTGTTTGCAAGTCATCACCTGCAGCTCCCGTTGAGCACACAGGGCTCCACATTTGAGGGACCTGTGTCTTGAATTATGCATTAGATCCTGTATGCACCCCAGGCTGAGGAATGTTCTTTCTGTCCTTACTCAGGGAGTCAGCATTTGGGATCCGGTGTAAGGCTCTCTATTACAAGAGTGACAACTGTACCCGTCCTTTTAGACTTTCTGTCTTAATTCCTGGTATGTAAAATTATTTAAGAAATGCTGTTTCCTAGCACATGTCAGATAGCCCTGTGTGCGGTGAGGCTCAAACATGAAAGAGATTCTTTCCATTTTTCCTGGATATTCCTTAATTGACAGCAGAGTTTGGTTAAATATCACTTGTCCTATCTATATAGTTATGGACGCTTGCTAAGATGGTATTAATTAAAACCTGTGGGCCAACTGATTCTAAGCCAGGTTACATATGGGTGACATTTATTTTAAACTATATTTATCTAAATAGTCATCAAGGGTCAACACAGCCCCCAGCTGACTTTAAGATTAGCAGTGCATAAAAGATGACATCCCCTTGTCTCGGCTCGAGGATCTAGTTATAAGAAAACTTCAGGTAGCAAAGATCTGACCTTTGACTCAACTGTGACTATTCTCCACTGCAGTGTTAATAATACCCAATAATAAGCAGTCTTGCATTTTTCTTCACTCACACACATGGCACCAACAAAATTTCTCTGTCTGACTTCAGCAAAACTCCTAATCTGTTGGTTTCTAGACCTGGTTTTCGCAAACAAGTAATTTCAATAATTATTTCTAAAGTCTCAGCAAGAAAACGGGAGTATTCATTTCAGATTAATTGTTTGATTGCATGTTTCCTCAGGAGGAAAGCAAACATCTTCTTTGTTATTCAGCTATTAAGTTACTGTATTTGCATTGCTGAAAACATTTTTGAAGACAAGCTCTCCTGTCCAAATCATCATCTTGTTCTGCTTAGGTAGTAAAACGACTGCATTGCATCCAGCAGCACTGGAGATCACTATAGATGGTAATGCGGAGCGACAACTCAGGAGAACGTGTTTTCACAGGACACTGGCTTTGCCGGGGCAGCCTGTTTACAGAACTACTGACCCTAACAACTTATTCTTGCCCCCACAGCTCAGTTCATCACTCCCTACTGCAGCCAGCGTAGGCAGCTGGGGACAGCAGCGCTTAGGAGATCTGGGTGAAGAACGATCTTCGAAAAGGAGAGGAGATGATGGAGTTAGGGCGATGGGTTTTTTTTGTTTAACTTGGTTAATTTTGGTGACAGTGACTGGTGGTATTAGGAAGCTTAAATTATTTAAGCCAGCTTCACTGGTGAAGCCCTTGATGAAGCAAAGCGCTTGACAATGTTCTGGTTTCAAGAGGCAATAAAAAACGCTAAAAGTAAATTAAACAAATTAAACACAAGTCGTTTACAATGGAGTCAAGAAACATAAACGAGAAAGAAAGTTTTACAGCTAAATAGCGTATCTTTTCTGTGAAGAAATTGCTAAAATGGAAATAATAACATGATCATTAGTTACAGCATAACTAGATCACTGGCTGTACTTGAATTAGTTTTGCCACTGAATCGTGCAAAGACAACTGAGCTGTGAGTTACTGTTATCAATTCTGTATTACATTTCCAAATTTAATAGATGCAGAAGTGGCAAAGTATCTTCTGTCTTCTCAAAATATAAACTCTTGCTGCCTTCTTCTGCCTCTGACCTAAGGCTGCTTTGGGCAGCTTCTCTAGAAACATGGCAACCATGTAGAGGTCCTACAGAACTCTTCTCCTCCCCCAGTGTCCTTTCAATTTCTGAAGGCGGCTGCCACAGAAAGCCCTTCTATGAATACTCGTCTCACATCATGGGTACTACGTTAATACTCATTGGAAAAATTGCTTCCAGCTTTAACAAATGCTAACCAGCAAGGAAAGGCTGCGACGCTTCCTGACTTGGAGAGATATGATGATATATAAAAGGAAAGAAGGGTCTTGTACATCTAAGTATTCAAAAATAGGACATACACCAGAAAAAATGTCAAGAAACAGAGATACAGAACAGTCTTCAGGCAGTAAGACCATGTTAAAGACTGCAACCAAATACTAGCACCAGAATATCTTTTAAGAACTTGCTTTGTCATGTGTTAGCAACTGAAGACGCATGAAGACTTCAGCCCTCATGAAAATTTTCACAAGGAAAACCCAACATGCAATTGATCTGGCAAAAAAAAAATAGACTGCGACCCCACTCCAAGTAACAGAACAATTTCCAATTCCCTAAAATCAATCAAGGTCAGAAGTACCATTTCTAAATGAACTAAAATACATTCATTTAATAATTGTAGCAAACTGGGTTTCTAGTCTTTCACGTCCACCCTCATGTTCTAGCTGTGAGGACACCAAGAATTACTCTTCTGTGGACAGCATTTAGTTAAACACGCTGAAATCTAAATCTTAGTTTCTCTTTAACCTGATACAACATGATCTGATTTGAAGTAAAGGATTTACTGTAAGATATCTGCTTAATTAGGGTTTGGCTTTATCCTTAGTGAAAAGTCATTTTCTTGAGTTTTCTTTTCTTTTTGGTAGATATTTCAGGGCTCAGTTTGTTTAAAATAAATTCAAAGATAATATTCACAAAAAACCCCACCACTTAAAGCATTAAACAATAATGCTTATACTTACAGAATAATGTGCAGAAAGGTCTTGCATCCAGAGGAAATTATTGTGCGTACATGCCCTAACAGGGTTAGTTCTCAAAAAACAAAAAGGCACAATCAGCCCAATTAAGATACAGAGACATTTTTAAAGCTACTGGGATTTTGTTTAAAGGAGTCATCCAAATTTCCAGGTATCTAAATGCCTATCAAGAGATAAAGGTATGTTAATCTGAAATTACAGTTGCCACGTTATGGCAGTGTACCAAATTGTGGACCTCTTTAACATCAGCTTACACCACTACGTTGGCAAAACTGAATGCCATAATTAGCATGGAAATTTTTAAAAAGCAGTAGCTGATGCACTGCATAGTCCAATATTAACCTGTATTTCTCACCTCTTTTGGGAGCAAGGAAATGAAGTCTCTTTGAAACTGGGGCTCTATCACTTGCATCATGTGTTTTACTTGTGTTGGTTCACAACTATCAATCAGTTCATCTAAAGCAAGTAATTTCTCTGGTCCACTCCAGCTCTGCAAGGGAAAAAAAAAAAAAGAAAATAAAAGAAAAAAAAGAAACAGTAAACTTAGTTTAATATACTAGTTTGGTTTACATTAGTAAGTGTCTTCACTTTGCAAAAATGGCAAGTTCAGTTTCCTTGTTGACCTATATACAAGCATATAAAGACTATATAAAAAGCCAGAAAGATAAATACTCATGTTAACTATAAAAAAGATGAGAAGTTAATCAACACAAAATATTGAAAATTGCCACACTGATTCATAAGCTAAGAAAGGATTTGTTATACGCACACATACAGATTAGCAATTAAATACATAATAATATTTAATAATAATAATTAAATTAATTAAGCTTCTTTTGAAGTTGATGAAATCTACACACAAATTACTGACAATGAAGGGGTTGCAACAGAACATGCTCCCTCTCTGTCTTTCTCCACTGTGCATTCAAGTGAGATGATAACTTTTAACCTTCATGTTTCATCCGGTAGACCAAAAACTTTAAATGAAAGAAAAGGAGAGAAGACACTTTCTCTAAAAGTACATTAGCTTATTGCCTGCTTATTACTACAGTATGTCCCTAAGTGACAATGTTGTAATTTCAGAATCCTGGCTATAAACCAACATATATTTTGTAAGAATCAATTTACGCTTGAATAAACAGGGGCATTTCGATTGGTAGTTTTCTTACTTCACATTTTTTACTAATGGGAACCATAAAATTTGAAGATTTTAATAAGACACTCATCTGAGAGAATAGCAGATTAGCAGCATAATTTGTAGAAAAAATTAATAACGGAATATACTCCACATCTGAAAAGCACATCTTAATCTCATCTGTGCTCATCAGAGTTTTGATTTGTTACGTGAAAACAATTTAAAGAAGAAAATAATTTCTACAGGAAAAAACAACAACTACCAACCACTAACTGATTTAGCAACAGAATTAGAGCATGAATAAAGCCTCAGAGAGGAGGGAAAATAAGACATCACAGTTTTTGAGAGAAGATTCATATTCACATTCTTGAATGTCTTCTAGAATGACATTTACAAATAAATTAGCACAAACAAATGATATTACAGTTATGGTAAGAGGCTAACTGAAATAAAAAAAAGGCAAGATACCTTCCAATTAAGATTTCTGTATTAATCTGCCATGTACCTCAGGACCTTTTTTACTCATATTCTACACTACTGTTCTCTGGATTTGATTCTGACAATTAACTCTGGTCTCCACAATACTTCGTTGTTTGTATATTGGGAAGTTTCTGCAGAACAAGTGGAGGAGGCGGTGAAGGGGAAGGTGGAATTTTTGAAAGTGAACGAAAAGCAGATAAATACCCCACTTTACTCGATGTAGGAAGAACGTCATGTTGCATTATTCCTCCCTAATTCAAATGTCAAAATACTTAGAATGTCAAAAAGAGTATCATTTACCCACATGATGAAGCACGCCACTTAGGTGCTCCTGCTTTACAGCAAATGCGTGGCAGATGTAGGACAGCCCACCCTAACAGAGGGGAAAGAAGTTCCTGTGACTTGAGCCTCTGCACATGCTGTTGGCAACTGGTAAGATGGTCCAAGCTGGCAAGAAAATATTCCCCATCCATGTGTGTGTATGTGGACTGTCACCATGTGAGATGAGGGTTTCTGTGTCTCACATACAATACCTCAGAATATTAAAAAGAAACAAGAACGTCTCGGCGTAAATTGCAGCAGTGCTGTTATAAACAGCTTTTTAAAATAAATTTCTTCCAATAGAAACATTTGCATCACAGAGCAGTTCTCCATAAATCATGCACTGAAGAACTGTTTATCTCACCAACTTCCCAACTGATGCTTGTTTCATTAACCCAGAGCTTAGCTGGTGTTACGTACAAACGTTTGCAATCTTTAATCTCATCTGTCAGCTGTGCTTGAATTTAGGAGAATTAAAAAAAGGGAAAGTAGTACCTGTGCTACTTCCTTATAATATAAATTTCCAAGGTCAGTCTACCCTTAATTTATAAGTAGCTACATTTATTAAATTAGAACAACTCAACATGAAGAGCATTGTTTTTTGCCGTGGCAAATGTTGCTAGCAGTTATGAACATGTTACTGATTAATAATTTCACTGTACATGATGATCTTAATCTGTAACTCTCTTGCACTTAAGATATTTCTGTTTTTAAAATATAATACAGATCTGAACAGAAAAGGGAGAAGATTCAAGAATGGGAAAGAGATGCTAATGAGTAAAAGCAGTACCCTCTTTCATCTGTCCATTCATCGTTAGAGGATGGCTACAGGCAGCTTCCTAAGGCTCTTTTTAAGCAATCAGCTGCTACAAAATGTTTTCTCTAAGACACCGTCCCCTTAGTCTTTCACTTAAGCAAACATACCTCCAGCTACAGTCGGTAAGCGGTCTCTGAGGGAAATGTTTGCCATGGAAAAGTGGGATGAAGCCTTGCCAGATGAACACAACTGTTTGCGTTAACAAAGGCAAGACTTGTAAATTACTGTTTCTGGGCCCCATAGCTTTATCTGCTTGCAAAAAAATTGTGTGTAGCACATTGAAAGGAAAGGAGACGAAGTAAGTTTGTGGCTTTGATGAGAAACAAGAGTGAACAAATGTCACAGAAGAGAAAAAAAACATAAGTATGTGCCAAACAGTTTGCAAAGTTTCAAACACTGCAGATGAGCAGAGACTTCTGAGGCATGCGGTGTAGTGTCCGGACACCTTGGATTCCTACCAGGTAATTCCCTTTCAAATTGAAGATCCTTGTAAAGAATATACTTGATCTTTAAGATGCACTTAATTAGTTTTCCTTGTCTTCAAAACTTAAGTTTACTTTTAATGCAGAATTAAAATAAAGCTTTTATTATGGGCAGGGGTTCTCCTAGAGAAGGTTAGCTCCAGGATTCATTCACATACCCCTTGGAAAGCCAGCAGGGACTGCTGATACAGCTCTTTGAATGATTTGAGATTCCTAAACAAACATCTCCCCCTCTTCCCTCGGGGGGTGTTGATTTGTCAGCCCAGGCCTTTTGGCCTATCCCCCCCTCTTCCCTCCCATTTCCCCCGGGAGGTGTTGATTTGTCAGCCCAGGCCTTTTGGCCAGTTCATACCATTTCCTCATTCGATAACGCAGTTGCTGCAACCACGGCACTACCTACCTGAAAACTATCCCTTCATTTTCCCCTTTGCTATAATGTTTAAATGTCTTTCCTTTCTTTTTTGGGCATGCAAAACAGCTTTATAATCAATATAAATGACAGCTTTGCTGCTTCTACAACATCCACCTTATCCCTCCTGTCTGACCTGCCACCTATGCTTTTATCATCTTCTGTTTCTGTACCTCCTCTGTTCCATTTTCTATGTACTCTTCCATGATCTACGCTTTTCTATCGCACAGCTCTCATCTGCTAGCTCCAATATGTACAATTACAGTTTGTAGCAATTAGATCCTTTTTCTATTATAGGTATATTTAGGTCACTTATTTTAAATGTTTTAATTTCAGGGTACTGTTCTCTGTTACTAAGTTCTGTTAACAGAAGTCTGTTGTTAAAGAGACCCGCAGGAAGGGCTCCTCCGGATGCTGCTTCTGTCTGACTCCTGGAGCAGTTACCGAGAACCCTGCCATCCTCCACCTCACAAGTATCTCAGCCTGGACACAAATAGCACATAAGCAAAATCCACTGAAAGAAACACCATCTACATCAGCAAATAGCTGGTCACAACAGGAGGGGTTCGGGAGCAGCTGGTGCTGAAGCCCCCACAGTAACCCATCTCTAAGACCTACTCTGGTCCCCTGGGCTGAACATGTACACCACACATGATGTAAACCTGTCTAGAGGAGCAGCAACTAGTTTGGACCCTTATGTTTCACTATGGGTTTGACAATGCAGAGTTTCTTCTGAAAGGTGCCTAGTTTGTATGTATCGCAACTGCCCTGAGACCCAACCCAATGGGAAATAAGCCGAGATGACCAGGAAACCTGCTTTAAATCTGCACTATTCCTCTGAAACAATTGTGACATAATGGCCATACAGCCAAAAGGGGTATGTTGTTGTAGTACTGATCTTCCCCGTTCTGTGTGTAAGGGTTGTACAGAAACACCAAACCCTCGACCTCGTCCCACAAGATACAAAGCAGAAAACGCTGCTATGCTGGTTATGATACAATCTTCACCACCTGCCTCGCATCTGAGGTGGACTATTCAGTCTTGCACATTTATGCATTTATGAGTGTCTTTGGAAGAATAAGAAATAACAGAATGGTCAGCAATTTGGATTAAGGTGGCTTAGCCAGCTATTTATGTAAAAGCAAGGAACAGTACTCTTGCCAGCCAGAAATGGCAAAAGCATTTTGGACACTATCTAAACCACTGAGAAAAAAATGCTTCCAATTTTAGGTAAAATAATAGTGTTCACTAGTTACTCAAACTGATTGCCTATACTTACTCTGTATGGAACAACTTTTCAACATCAGTATATATGCCCCAACTTATTTAAAAAAATGCATATTTTTGATCACGTTACTTACATAAAACTCAATACTGTAAGTATGTGAAGTATGAAGAATGTAGAAAGAGAACTTAATTTTTAAAGCAGTACCATCTCTGACTGAGCTTAGCAAGCAGATTTTTTTTTTTCCTTATGGCAAGCACTTTAGTGACTTAGAAAATATACCCTGCTTCAAATAAAATAAAATTTCTTGTAAAGATACACTTGGGCACTAAGTTTTAAACGTCTTATAGTGGATATTAAAAAGACCTGAAGCCAAGAGTCACTGCAAAGCAAAAAATAAATAAGCCTTTAAGAATTTAAATGGTTTCAACCTATCAAAATGCTTTTCTATTTTTCTTTCCAGACCAACATTTCATTGAAATAAATATACATCTTCATTTTTAAAGGGAAAGTGCAACTACACTTCCAACTATTTCTCCTTTCTGCATTAGTTTTCTGTCACTTTCAAAATAAAAGGCTTAGATCAACTATAAAACATAACAGTAGTAATAACATATACAAAATAAAATTTAGAAAAACCCCTTAAAGGTCATCTTAAGTTTTCTTAATATTTGAAGAATGGTCTTGCTTTTTAATTTGAAAAGATAACATAGGAGAACAACTGAAGGCCAATAAATATACAGGTGAGAGACCTTGAAAATAACTGAGTATCACTTGTTACTGCCAACTTCTATGCCAAAGGACAATGCTGCCACATAAAATAAGATAGTGCCATTAAGCAGGCTCAGCAAGCACACAGTACACAAAGGAAATCCCTCCCCATTTCTGTTTCTGTAGAGCAAAAACTTTGTATTGCAAGAATGATGCGCCACGTGCCATTTAATTCTGCCCTTTGGGCAGAGCGTGCTCCCCTTGCTTTCAGAATGTGCTTTTATCATCTGACTGTTTAAGACTTGCTCCTTTCATAAAATTCACATGGAAAATAAGCACGCAGAAAATGAGGTGGTTTGGCATTAGCCAAGGAGATGCAGCGCTGAGATGCAGCTACGTGACTTTGAAAGCCTTTGGTTCTAAAATGAGGGACTCTCTTCTGTGAATACAATAAAAACTACCAGTGACAGAGGTGATCAATAGAAGTGCTACTCAATGATCTCCAGTTAGGAGAGAGAGGTGCCTCTCTCTCTCTCTCTCTCTCTCTCAAAAGTATAGATCAGCATTCAGGAACTTAAAACTGCAACTAAGTATTCTGAAAAGTCAGAAGTATCTAATTATAAGAGTATATTATAGATTTATTAAAGCATAGTTTTCCATTACTAACCCTAAATTTGGGACCCTAAACCATAACAACTCAACTTCAGGCAAAATTTCCATGGGCTTACAGACTTTTCCTTATCCTGACCAAACAATTGATAGCATTGCTTTTACTGTCACACATGTCTGCACCACTCTCTCAAACATTTCAGCCTTTCATTATCTTTTTTTTTTTAATAGGTAACTATTGATAACTGTCAATCTTATGCAAGAAAATACACATTGCACATTGTAGGTAACAAAATAGCTTTTTTAACATTACAAAATAACAGAATCATAAAATCATTTTGGTTGGAAAAGACCTTTAAGATCATCAAGTCCAACCATAAACCTAACACTGCCAAGTCCACCATGAAACTGTGTCCCTAAGCGCCACATCTATACTTTTAAACGCCTCCAGGTATTTATAAGTCTTTTAAAAGACTCAACCACTTCCCTAGGCAGTGAAGAAATTTTTCCTAATATCCAATCTAAACCTCCCCTGGTGCAACTTGAGGCTGTTTCCTCTTGTCCTGTCGCTTGCTACTTGGCAGAAGAGACCAACCCCCCACTGATAAAATACAATGTTGTATTACATTATCATATATACAAAGTACCATTCAAATATGATTCTTAGGGGTGAAAAGAGGTATTTCTCTGAACAGTCTCAAAAAAGATAATAATAATTAAATGTGAATATTTTTAAGAAACTGAATGATTTGTACAAAAATATCTTAATTCCAAACCTCCACTGTTTTAAGCAGCTTATAAATGTGTAAAAATAAAGAGGGAAGGAGTTCTACATTATTATTTTAATGTTCAGAACTGACAGTGATTGAGATCAATGGTATTACGTGGCAACATGAATCAAGCCAAAAGCATGCTTCTGCCTGCAAAACCGTACGCTTGCTGCTGTATCTACAATATTGCCCTTCCATCTTTGCCTGTTATAGTAACTGAAACAACGCCTGTATTAGTTAGTTACTCCTTTTGAAAATGTTTTTAGAAGTAACAGTGTTCATCAAGATAGGAAGACATAATATTTCCATTTTTCAAGTCAATGACTAGGACTCATCGCTGCTTCTTAAAAATACAGAGCAAAGCTGTACAGTAGAGAGATCTCCATGGTGCAGGTTATGGAACAGGAGTGAAGGCCTGCCCCAAACTGTGTTTGTATTCAGGTACACAAAATTCACTTCGGTGCTACCAGGTTGGTGTCCGTGCAGATTGCAGTTTCCAGCTGTGCAAGTGGTGTGTACCACTGTCCTTCACACCTTTTCTTTCATCAGACTACATTCTAGGCATTGCTGGAGGCTGTTGGAAGGATACAGAAAACCTCCTTCTCCCCTCTGTTCAGTTGTGTACGTGTGTACTGGCTGACATTGCGTTCAGTATACAAAGATCAGTAAAAATGCACGCCGAGTTTCCTTTTAATCTATTTTTGCTAAACTTTTCTTTCTATTCTTAGAAGACACCAGACTTATGATAAATTTAGTGCTGTACCTGCACTGAAGCAAACCATGCACTAATGCTTCCTAGATGAAGGAAGCATTTCCATGCTCCAAATGAAACCCTCTCAAGTTAGCTTGAGGCCATAGAGGCAGCCATTACACGTTGGACAGACTTTGCAGAAAATGTGAAAGCAAACAGGAAGGGTTATTTTATTAAGAAACCAGAGATAGTAGTTATTTTTTGTGAATTTCTACAGTAACTAGCTGAAACAGGGAACCACAATTCCTTAAAGTTGATACCCATTTGTTTTTGCAACAGTACACAAAATCAATGATGGAGACGTTCTGGGGTGTATAAGGAGGACTGCCTTTACTGAAGTAACTTAAATCACAGAGGTCAGTGGCTTCAGATGTTTATTTCTCTGAGCATTGGTTACCTGAAACATTTTCAGCCATTCCTGAAGGCCCGTCGGTGGCTGCACAGATGTAATGCGGCGACGCTGCTGTCCCTGGCCATTGGCTGCCCTCAGGTCCCCAAAAGTAGTAGGTGTGGCAGAGCATGGCACCAGCCCCGTAGTACTACAATACAAATAAAATGAGATAGTAATTGTAACGTAAAATTTTAAGGAGAATTTAGAAGTCTGTTGCAGAAAAAAAAAATCTAGTACAGAAGTTGCAACTATTACTTAAACTCTTAAACTTCATGCAAAAGTAATAGCGTGAAAAACTGTTCTACTGGTCACTCAAGGGGTCAGTTCCCTCACTTTCATAAATCGGCCTGTTTCTACCCCTGCAGTACTAACCCTCCAGCTAGGGGGAAAATGGGGATCACCTTTCCAGGCTGCAAAAGTACCACTCTGTTAATCTGTAAGCAACTTGTCTATAAAGATGCAGGTTTATATATTCCTTTCCTTGACAGAGTATTTCCTTTCTTTCTGGGCTCAACTGTGCCTTCTGACTGGTGATGTAGAAAGCCAGAGCTCAGAGTCTCACCTGTATGCGAAATGTGCCAGTGCTGCTTCATTGCCAAACAGGAAAAAAAAATATCTATTTTTAGCTCTTAGTATATTTTGTTGACAAAGAAATAGTAATAGCAGCAGAGTAGTAATAGCAAGCAGTTCCACTGGCTTAGTGATTTGGAATTACGCTGTGAAATACTATATACAGTCTTTTAAATTTTGCGCGTTGATAAAGTGACACGGGAATTAAAGGGGGGTGTGAGGTGAAGAGGGAAAAGGAGCCAAAGGTGCTCCCTGAATTATAGTTTGATTTTTTCACCCTGACACATTAAAAACCAGCTCATTCATATGGGATGGAGCTTTTAAAAGAGCTGGGATTAAGCTGCTATTGTAGGAGTCTAAAGAAATACAGCTGACTGGGTTTGTTGTTTTTTTTTTTACATAATGTAAAGTACTTTGTTCACAGAATATCAAAGTTGTACTCCCTAGCAGGAAATTTGGAACTCCAGTAGTGTTTGCACAAGCATGAAAATTTCAAATACAGAGTAGGACTCCAAAACCCCTTTACTTTTATGTACGCTAAATCCAGCTTTTTGGTAGGTATGCGCTTCACGGTTTCACTGACTTTCCAGTGGCTACAGGAATAGCTGCCAATGATGCAAGGTAGGTTTATTTTAATATGTATCTCAGCATAGTCTACAAATCTTTCACTCTACTCTTCCTTGTTCTGAAGGACAATCATAGCATGTCCTACCATTTACCCAAACCGGTAAAGAAAAGTAAAGATTGGTTTGAATAGGCTTATTTTTAACCATTAATTCTACAGAGTAGGAACTGTCCACAGGTGAAGGATCTTCTTAATGACATTTGTTTACTAGCTTAACCTGTTATATGCAAAGAAAATTCATCAGGCCTGTAAATTTTAAAGACTGTCTGATCGCAGCGAAAATGAAAACAAGCAGGCACAAGAACTACATCATTTGCCTAAGAAGTATTAAATATGATCAAACAGTTCAAAAGAGAGGATCGGATGTTATTTAAGGATTCTTTTACACCAATAATGACTCAAAATCTAAGCAATGACAATTGAAAGTATTTTTAAAATAAAATCTGGTTTTACAGCTTACTCATCCTCATCACCTGTACAGAGACCATCAGAAGGCCTATCATATAAGGTCCAAAATAAGGCTCTTAAAATCGGCTTATATTGGATCTGAGCAATACATAGCCTTGAGCTTGCCCCAGTAGAACAGTTATGTTTTAATTTCTTCTGCTGTAAACTGGTTCTCAGTCAAAAACAGTTATTCAAAACAGGACCTAAAAGCTTTTCTCCTTTGACCTGAGATTAAACCACATGATTTTTGTTTGTGCTTTATTCTTCTTGTATGTTTTCATTCCCCTGAAACAGCCAGTCAGGTTTCTGTGGAAGCTGGACAAGTCCAGTAGTTCCTCTGAATCTGACAGCTACACCTGACAACGAGCGTACTTGCTTTGCTGCTGAACTGTTTACTCTTACAGGAGTGCAGAGAATGGAGTGTCACCTGAAGAACTGGTAGCCAACAAGAGTTGCCTTCCACTAGACTGGCTTACGAAACCCAGAGAAGCTACCAACTCGAGAAGGATGTGGAAGCTGCAACATGTGCTTCTTGGCAACAAGACATTGCATCTTTTTCACTACTGCAGTGTTTACACATCTGAAAAGCAACCCTGGAACCTGTTTCCCCACACTGTCCTAGCTTTTCACTCATCATCTGATAAACCTCTTAAAGGAAGAGAAATAAAATTTAAGTTACTTTTGAAAGACCCATCAGTGACTGAACACTACTATAGCATGTTCAGAAGAAATAATGTCTCCGGCCAGTTTTGGGAGGCAAGGGCGATGCTTGTGAGAGGGCTGATGCTTATTACAGGGAAAAAAAAAGTAAAATAGTGTAAATTCAAACAGGATGGGAAGCAGCGTGACATCAGAGCACAATTGTTATGGCAACTATAAAGTAGGAACTGCAGTTGTAAGGCGTGCATCCAGGGCCCTGCCCTACCACGGCTTCTCATGTTTAGGAGTGCTTCACCCCACAAAGCATCTGACCGGAGCAGCAGCAGCTATTTATGCAAAGCTGGTACCACGTAGGAGTAGTAAGGAAGCAGACTAGAACCCCGTAATACCTTCACGTTGTGGATAATGAATACGTGCGTGTTCCTCTTAAGATCAGATGGTCTGCTCTGCCTACATAAATTTCCATTCTCTCATTCCTGTTACCATAGCAAAGTGATACATTTGATCACAGTTTGTAATAGTCTTAGGGTTTATCATTATGTCCCTTTTTAAAAATCTGATTGATTTTATTCCCAGGAATGCTTCAGCTCTCAAAACGTCTCCAAGTAAATGAGCACGCTATATTTAGAACACAAACCTCAACCGAAGAAATGCAAGTCTGGCTACTTCATTAGAACTCATCTTCAGTTCACATAATTTAAATTAGCTAAGCAATACACAAATGCTGATACCACCCCTTCTTCACTTTACAGTGCTTTCACATTAAGAGGAGTCATGAATCAGGCTTAGCAATTGGAAAGATGGGATTTACGCAAGAATCAGGATCCAGTGATCTGTTATAGCATTTAATTACCTTGTGTATTCTGATACTTTGCAGGGTTTCTTTCCCAGAGAGAAAGAACGGACCTCGGAGCCATGGTCCAACTTTCTCTTCATCTGCAAGGTGAGGGAAAAGAGTAACAACACGGGTTTAGTTACATGACCAGTCTTACTTATGAGTACTTCTGTAAAATTAATCCATTTTTACCTTTCACTTTAATACTGAATTTCAACAAAGTTGACACAAGATGATTTAAAGCAACATTTTAGTTTCTAGCTTCAACAGTATTTGATATATGTTTTATACAATGCATGTATGTATTATTGCTGGTTTAGGGTCCAAAATCTTATTGGAATTACATTCTTTTAATTTCCAAATTTCACGTGTTAAAAAGTGTGCAGAATTCTCTGTTGGTTTGTTTATGAAACTGTTCTCTCTCTCTTCTCCTGGGAGGGAAAGAACTAACCCAAACCCCTTCATTCTTTGTGTTCAGGTTGATTCTAAGTCTGTCATGGAAACAGTTAAATTTTAGGTAACCTGTCTGCATTATAAACCAAACATTCATTTTAGGGCCTAAAAAAAAAAATCAGACATATTTTTTCTTTTGCCTACTCTTTTATTTTACAGTTATATACTGAGAACATTTCTAAAACTGCAGTAAAACCGACTGACAGATTAACCAACATTTTTACAAGAAGGGTAAGGATGAAAAGCACTAGACCTCGATCTTGAATGTCACCCACAATTAGATATGATCAAAACCAAATAATGAGTAGGGCAGCTGCTAAAGGGGGAAGCCAGTCTGCAAAAATTACCAAAGAGATGGAAACCAGTGAAAGCCATATTTATCCAGTCAAACAAATCAAGACTACTTTCTACATATTTGGGTAATCTTTAACCACAAGCTTTTGGACTCAACCAGATATATGTATGCCAAATGCAATTCCTGAGTTTTTTGTTGGTTTTCTTTTTTTAAGATGTGATAGACCAAAAGACTCTAGCCAGCAGGATGCTTACTGCTGTTTACAACTGTGAGCAGCAAAATGCATAAAGTACCTGTGTAACAATTCAGACTTTAGTTTGACCATTTGCTCCCTTTTTTCAAAAATTCATATTTAAGCTACAGTTTAAAAGCTGGCATCTTTCTTACACCACTGATTTGATCTTTTTTAACGTTGCATTATAACAGTTATTTAACCACTTATTGTATTGGTCTACCTGCCTAAAAACAAAACACCAAAACACCCAGTGGGATTCTCTAAAGCTTATGGTCCATATACTTTTGTTGGGATTTTTTTGTTTGTTTGTTTTTTACTTTTAAAATACCTTTATGGCTTTTCCTAAAAACAATCACTTAAGATCTTGTGTTTTGCTTCGTTAGTGACTGCAAAGGAAAGATAACTAAGATTTACTGTTCTCATTTCTACAGCAACAGCTACAACACAACCAGAAGAGCCTGCCTTGTAGCCGTATTTTCCTGCCGGTGCCTCACATGGGACACTCCACACACAGCATTTCACCAGACAAGCATTCAGCCAGAACCGCCCCGAGCGCCGCCGAACCACCAGCCTCACCCTCGCCGCTTCCCCACGCCCTGGGAAGAGCATTCCCCTGCGCTCCCCCAAGAAAACCAGTTGCAAGCATCACTGGAAAATAATGGATACCATCTTTTATCGCTGTGCTAAACGAGCGAGCCATCAAAATTACTGGAAGCATAAATATGATCTTTGAGCATGAATTTCAGTATTTGATGACAGACTTTTCAGAAAGAATCTTTCCTGTTCAAGGCAGATTTTTATTTCCAGTTTGCCTTTCTGAGAGGTTACCATCATCATACCCCTCTTCTGCTTCTCCTAAGAGGGAGATGCAGTTTTCCAAAAGCACACCTTAAAAACAACAAGTACGAAGCCTGCAGCAGAATATGCAGCTACAGTAATTTACTCTTTTGCGTTAGCAAGGAAAACAATATGCAGTTCTCTGTTCCGTTGACTTCACCCATTTCTTTTGGCAGGGTTGGTTTGGTTTGGGTTTTTTTTTTCAGGTATTTTAGGGAACTTTCTCGCAGGGTCCACCACACAGGCAGACCTTCAGCATTTCAGAAGGTGCTAAGTAATTGCACCGTCAAAAACATCGTTTACTATACGAGGAAGATAAAACTTTCTCTACAGCAGAGAGGTCTAGTGAGGAGATTCAGACACCAGTGAGGTATCTGTGCAACCGAAAAACAGAAACCGGCAGGCACGCATCCCTGTAAATATTTAATCTGTCGCTAAGAGAGCACAACTCCTTCAGAGAAGGTTTATTTATCGAAATAATTG